GACTCTGTCACTGTGGCATAACATACTTAATTACAGATTTTATTATTAAGTGACTTGATGAGTCTCAATTATTTACAGATATGCTGTTTTGTTCTGAGGAAGACTTTCATTTTAGCACATTTCATTCACAGTAATCAAATCACATGAAACTCTTGAGTGTGCTTTAAAATACTAAGTTTTTAATTTGACCTATAACTTATCTTCAAAGTAGTCATGAAAAAATTCATGGCATGAGATATCTGTGTCAAGCAAGACTTGTACAAAAACTTTTTGCCCCTTAAAAGAAACACTGAGGTTCATAATCACACAATCTTGTTGAAATGATTTAAACATGTAAAAAATAATAATTGATAGAGTTTAATAATATGTCAGACCAAGAACTAAAAAGACTCATCTTTTCAGTGTGACCAACTAGATGGACTGCATTCTGCTACCAAGTTAAACCTGTTGATTGTCAGTGATACAAATGAGCAGCTCTTATGACTGCACAAATTAGGAATGTTGTTTTGTTTCTATTCCACTCAAAACGTAAAACTCTGTCAAAACGTGAAGCTAGGCTGAACCAAGGGCACATACACAGAGAGGACAGGTGTAGCCCGAGGTTGTATCTAATTATACAATTAGCCTGTTGCATATCCATGCATCTCACATCCTCACCTATGAATTATGTACTTAGTAGGACTTTGCAGAGTATCGTGGCATGCTTTGGCAGTTGAGAAGAGAAAACTCAGAAAGACAGGAGGAACTGAGCATCTTATTGGATAACTTGTTAAAGAAGATTTGAAGTTTGAGAGAGACGCATCAAGTTGAAAATGGTGTAATAAAATTATTTTAAGTTTTTAAAATCATTCATAGTAAAGTTAAAAGTAAAGCTAAGATCATAGAAATAAATAAATAAATACATTCATACACTGGGCAGTTATTCAGTTTAATTATTTACACAAACTTCTAATCATGCTGAAAATTAAAAACATAATTTGATTAAAATAATAGTTTTAATTTTTAAAACTTTGTGATGTTACAAAAAATATTTTATTAAACAGAAGCAAAGATCCCATGGTAAAATTCAATTAATCATAGTAATCATATACTTTGTATATATACTTGTAAAACTGGTAATGTACATTTCTATTGTTTCTTATCTTATTGTGTCGTAAATGTAAATCTACAAAAAAAAAGGCAAAAAAAAAATAATAACATAAAATAAAATAAAATAAAAAAACTAACTGGTCCAAACTTGGTTAAAATTGTTATTTACCAGAGCTTTGATTAACATTGTTTTATGTATGTCTTAAAGTGTACAGACTTGAAAGCAAACAGTGTGTTTTTGTTCCCATTCTTTTTTTATTTAAATAGCAGCGCTACTGGATAAACTGAAGGGAAAGTTACTGAAGATGCTGATAAAAATCTCCCCTGAAATTCTTTTTATTTTATTTTTTTACAACAAATTTGTTTGACAATCTTAAAGTCATCTAGATCAAAACTAATTTGTAACCTTTTATTATTATTATTATTATTATTATTATTATTATTATTATTATTATTAATTAATTAATTAATTAATTTATTTATTTATTTATTTATTTATTTATTTATTTATTTACTTTTAGTTCTGCGTTGAAACGTCGCCTTGACTGAACTGCGCTGAACGATTAGGACCTTGTCTTACCTTCAGGATGCAGAGCTCCAAACCAGTCCGAAGTTATTCCTCCAAATCGTGTCGGTGTCTCTTTGGACCACTTGATATAACTGCTGGAATCCTCAAGGCTGGAAGTGTTGGATCCAGCTGGGAACTCTGCGCGACAGAAAACATAGAACATGTTGGCTCGGTTCTTCTGCGTAAAAACGAGAAACTTTTTTTTTCTTTCTTTTTTTGTAATATAATGTGTGCCAATAAGCGGACATCTGGTGTAAATATGAATATACAGAGGCTGTCAAAGATGCCCCTGCTCTCTGGGAAAGTCAAACACAATCGTGTATCAATCTCCACATATTTTTCTTCCCTCCCAACGCAGGCAGCTCCGCGGAAAAATGTGAAAAATGACAATGATCTGAAAACTTCACCGAGGCAAGCGGCATGAAAAATCTCCCCGCTAAAGGCTGAGAACAGAAAGAGGGAACTTTTGTGGAGAACTTACCTTATTTTTTTTAAATTCTGGCAGTCCCCCTATTCTTCCCAGTGAGGCCAGGTGCGCTTTTTAGTAACTTTGTTATAATTTGGCGCCTTGTTGTTTTCCGTAATATTTGTCAGAGGTTTGACAGTATAAGTGGAATGTTAAGTATGACTTTGGTATGAAATCAACGCACTACACTGGGAAACGAAGGGGGAGGGGAAAGAAAGACTTTTCAAGGAGGAGCCATCGGTGCGCGTCAATCAACAGGCTCATGGGGCCGAGACTCGGTTCCAGGCCGCGCCTACAAATCACTGAACACTGGGGCTTCCGGTCCCGAAACCTGTCTGACAGAGCACACGCAGTTCTGTTCCAGTCAATAAAAATATAGAGAACTTCCTCGAGAGAACATGAATTAAACTTAAAGTTATCTTTATCCCAGAGAAACAATAAAATAAAGCAAAATTGAAAAAGAGTCCTTCCTGTAAGGAATTGAAATGGAAAAGATGTCTGGTGCATAAATGCAAAATTCAGAGCACTGATTTTAAAGTATGTGGTTAAACTAAGAAAGTCACTAGAGTGACTAGTGTGGTACTGTAGCTTCCTGGATGAATTTTTCTTCTGGTACTTGATCAAAAGTGCCACTTGTTGGCAGAAAGTATTAATTTTACTGGTATTTTTAATCTATTGAAGCAAAATTTTAAATTTGTTTGCCCATGTATTGTATATAAGTAGTACAGCAAAGGACAAACCTATGTAAAAATGAAAACTAATATCAAGGAGAGCAAATATTTACACTACTGGCGTGTCATGTGAAGACCATCATCAGTCCAGGACTACAAAGCATCCTATTTTGTAGGTTTATGAAAGGGAATACTTTCTTATTTTACTCACAGATACTACATATATATAGAAAAAATGTATATCTGTGCAGATTTCACTGAATTGATCAAAGTCGTTTGTGATATTCAAAATGTTCTAAATAAATAGAAACAACAAAGTCAAAGTGTTTTTGTGTCAAAACGACTAATTTGGTGCAGATAGAGAAAATATATAGAAATAAATCTAATCTTAGATTTTAAAGAAATGACGTAAAACAAACTCAATGTATCTCACTGCATCTGCACATGACAAATGCAATATTCTAAAGCTAAATTAAAAAAGGAAGATTTTTTCCCCAATATTAAAGTTATTTATCATATTTTATTATTTTGTCTATTACAGATAAAAAAAAAACAACTGATTCACAAAATATTTTGGCAGAGCTGGTGTTTATTGTTAAGTTTTAACCTTATATAAAAAGCTCCAAAATAAATATTACTGCTCCTTATTTGTTATTAACAAACACACTAGATTGACGTTAGGTAATTGAAACTTATATTTGAATGTTTTGCTTTTCTATTGATCTCCATTTTTGTCCATCAAGTCTACCTGGATTTGTAATATCTAACTATTATGCTACAACTTCATCATAAGTCATTATACAGCTTGTCATAATATTTTTGAGCTTCATTCAGTAAGCGTTCGACATCTGCTTTAAAACCTTTCATTTAAATTTTTTCACATAACATATAATGTCTGAAGAATAAAGTAGACTAATTCTAAGACTGATTCTGTTAGAAAGTTATGAGTGTTCAACATCTGACAAATGTTTCTCAGGTGAAACCAGATGAATCTCAGTATCCATCCAGCAACAGCTCCTTCTGTTGGTCACCAATGTGGCTGCAACATCCAACAGTAATGCATGTCTATACATGGAGAATTTATATACACACAATGTGATCTTTCAAAATGAGACAATTTCAGACACTTATGTTGGGAGTTGTTTTGCTGAAAGTCCCATATCAAAAACAGACAATAGGGAAGGTGGGAGGCGGGGGTGGGAGGTGGAAGACTAACTCACCTTACAGCATCTGTTCAAGAGGAGCCGCTTGCTTCAGGGTTCATTTAATTTTGCGAGTTTGGACAACTGCCTGAGCAGGTTCAGGCAGAATACACACCTCTCACTTCTGCTCCAGGCCCTCCGTGCAAACAGGTTTTTCATCCTGAGTGAGGCTTTCGACATGTCAGACGGCAGGAGGAGAAAAGCGTGGGTGTCTCTAAAAATCTTGCAACTGGAATCTGTTTTATTATCTGCCAGCTGCCTGCTCTCTTCTCGCAGCAGATGATACAATCATAAAACATGTTTTATAACTGTTCTGGCAGATCCCATAAGGTTTTCTGTAAAGGATTTTACTCAGAGGACAATATGTGTCTGCAATCAGGAAGGTTTAATTCACACACATTATTCCAATAAGCACATCAAACAAAGGCAAGGTGAAGGAAAAATACAAGATTTTTCACAAATTCTGACAAAAAATGGTGTAAATAGAAAAAAAATCTACAACAGCTTACATTAGACCAGATTGTGTTAAATATACAAAGATTGAATCATCACACATGAATAGAAACCTACAAAAATAAACACAAAGATGCTACAGATCTTTTACGAATATCACTTTAACCATGACACCTTTTGTTTCATAGTCATTACATTTAGGAAAAATTGAGGGATACAGGAAGCCTAAATATCATAATTATTAATGGTATAATCAAAGTAAAACAGAGCCAAATGTCACAAATTTTTCATCTACATTATTTGTAAGATATTTGTCTTTGAGAAAACACTGTGTCATTTGGAAAATGAAGTTTTTGGTTTATTTGTTTTCACAGTTTTTGGTTTATTTCTTTTCACAGTGACACAAGAAACAAGAAACTCTTCTACTGCTGGACCTAGATAGGAACAGGATACAAAACAACATGAAATAAAAAACAAACAACAACAAAAAACAAAACAAAAGAAACACATAAAATTGAACATCTTTAAAGACTAATTTTATTACCTGTTTCTTTACATTTTAATTGTGACATTTTGTGATAAACTCTAATTCTGAAAATTCATGTTAAATCAGACTAAGCTACAAAGGTTGAACTTGCTTCTGACACCTGCAGGAGGAAATCTGAATAGCAAAGAGGTGGCACCGCTGCAACAGGTATCCACTGCTGGTTACCACTACTCACAGGTTACAGTAGTTGTTAAACTACCGTTGGTAGTAGTGCTTGTGCTAACACTGTAGTGCTTGTGAATATCTTTGGATTATTCACAAGCAATTTTCCCATCAAAGCTGGAGAGTGCGATGGCAAAGGCCTGGACGGCACACATGGGGTAGTTATAGTCCAGAGTAAATATGTCGTCAGCTATCCTTCCAAACTGCATCACAATGTAGTCCACTGGAAAAAATCAAAAATATATTAGGAACTCAGAGCTGATCAGAAGAAAGTGGGATACAAATCACTTACAGTGCCGCCAAAATGAATTTGCCACCTTAAAGATTTCTTGTTTTTGCCTTTTTTCGTCGATAAAATTATTACTTCCAATACAATCCTTGGTATGCATAGATTACAGTTTAACAGGCGTCTGAGCTGCATTAAGCCCGAAAGCCTTTAGAGGTGATTTTCCACCAACAGTCATGTAGGGTTATGCTGAAGAGCACAGGGGTTATGCAGCAGGACAATGACATGAAGTTGACCTCTGAATGGCTGGAAAAAGTAGGTTGTGGAGCACTCTAGTCAAAGTACTAACATAAATCTGATTTAGATGTGCTGGAATTACTAAACAGGAAACTCATGCTAAAACGCACTTGAACTAAAACAATTCTGCAAAGAAGAGTGGGTTAAAAAATTCCTCCAAAAAGATGTAGAAAATTGATTTCCGAACTACAAGAGGGTGTCACAACCATTCGATAGTTTTTTCTTTAATGAATGAAACTGAATTATTTTTTGTCTGATACTAAAACAAAATATATCTACAGTAGTAGGAGGCCAGTACTTTTTCACTTGTAAATGTGCTTGGCAACCAATTTTTGAGGGATTGCTAAAGTAAACCATATACACTCATCTGATCTTTTGTGTCTTCCTTGAACTTGTTTTGATAGTAAACCACTTTGTATTTCATTGTCCCACACATCCACATCTGGTTCCAAACAAACCAGACTGTTTGTGGGAAAAAGACAGATGGATATGGAGTACTCACAGTCCTTGTTGTGAACTATCTGGAAGTTCTTGACGGAGGCTTGTGTGACTCGGCCGTTGAAATTCAGCACATGAGAGGCAGTTTCTTCGTTCCACACGGGTGTCTTGTTGTGAAGCTCAATCAGATTTTCCATCCTTCTATTCTGGTACCTTACCAACAAGCCGTCACATTCCTGTGGTCAATTGGCAAAACATAAGTCAGTGAGCATCAAGAAAGAGCAATAAGATTTTACCCACTTGCCTTGTTCTTTTCTCATAACAAACAGAACCTAAATCAAGCTGTTAAACATCTGGCTCTTCTGCTGGCAGCCAGCTTTTGTAAAAAAGGGTATTTTTGTTCATTTGCATATTTAGTTTTTAATTTGGTTGTTCTGTTTTTGTGTGGTTGTTTTCTTAAAAAAACAAACAAAAAAAAGAAAATGCTGGGAATGCTTTCAAGCCAAAGTTTAGAAAAATCTTTTGCTGAGTACGGAAGTGAAAAAGTTTGTTCAAGCAAACAGATATAATTGGAAAAAGAAATGAGCCATGATCACAATGTAATGGGGTGTAAATTTTCATAGAATCCCCTTAAAATACAGTATAACTGTAACTAATGCAGAAGAAGTGGTGCAGGGAATGTTTTAAATTTCAGCTCAGTTGCATGAGTCAGCCTATTTTCAATTACGCTATCCCAACATGCATAGCATTCAAAGAACATGGAGTGCATCCAACAGTTTGATGCTTGTAATGCCTACTTTAAGTTTTGTGTGGTTTTTCAATGTTTGTCTTGACTTCAGTTTTAGCTTACATTTTTTAAACATTTTGGACAATCTTTTACAAGTTTTACTTAATATTTTTTGTATTTCTATTTTTTTCTGTTATTGCTTAGGCCTTGGCATACATTTCAGGTACAATTTTGTTGTTAATGAGTCAAAAACATTTATTAAACGCTCAGACAGGAGTAGGAGTGCTCCGAGACCTAACTAATAATATTAGTTATTTAACCTGTGCTTATGCCAGAAAATGAGCTGTAGGTATACAAGTCAGTTCAGCTGAAAGAAAATGAAATTATGTCATTTTGTGTAGGGTGAAGTTTCTGATGAAGCTTACATTTCTGGGCCTGAGTGGGACTCTCTCATTGTCCTTGCTCATTCCTGGAATGATGACCGTCATCCGTCTGGGCCCTTTCATTCCAAGGACATTTGTTTCCTGAGGTGAGAAACAACCAGATTCAAAGTATCTACATTTCTTCTCTTCAGTATTCAGATCAGAATAAATCCCCATAAAGTAGCAACCAATAAACTGTAAGGAACTCACATAGATGATGCCAGCTAACTCTTGCCGTGCATTAGACATGTCTGGAAGAGCTCTTTCTGGATTTAGAGCGTTATCAAACACTGTGAATTTAGTTCCCATTAAATTGGACCTGGTTAAGAAAAGATATATTGACTTCTACAAATAGATTTTAAAAACATCATTATTCAGTTTGTCTGACTTCTTCTGACATACCTTAGTTTTCCCACAAAGTTCTCACCACCTCTTGATAAGTCTGTGGCATCAATGGAGATGAGGTAATTTGAAGTTGTGCTTTTCTTTCTTTTCCTTCCAGCCAACAGGAATGTCTAAGAAAGGTAATCACAATGAGCCACATTAGATCCTAACAAAGAAGGCTGTCAATGTTAAAAGGTGTTTCATCTTGCTGAATGATTGTTTTGTTGTAATTTTGTCGTGCATTACAGAATCTCTGAAATGTTAGATTAAGTGGGCAGATTGGCCTACCTGAAAGTGACTTTAAATCACTTTCAAAACAGCTTTGACTGGTCAAACACTTCCACTCCTATTCACAGTTTTTATTTTGAGTCTGGTATTTTTAGTTGGTTCAGAAACTGCTTCTCAAAACAGAAGACAATTCATGAGAAGGTGTGGATGCTTCTCAGAGCCATTGTGTGCAACAAGAGGTTCATCATTCACCCACGCTCTTTTTGTTTTCAATATATGATGCTGTGTTCTCTTTAGGACATTACTATCAACATGTATTTCATGACAGTTTTATATTCCTTTAATAATTTACAATCTGACGTTATGGAGCATTTTTGCTTTGAAAAGGTTTTATATAGAACAAATCAAATAATAAATCAAATAATAGTCGAGTAATAATACTCAACTATTGGATGATTAAGAACCTGATGTTAAAATACAACATAGACAATCTTTCGTTCCAACTGAGGAGAGAGGATGGCCGGTGTTACATTTTAAAACCTGACAATGTCTTTGCTGTTTGGACTAGGCCTGTTATCTGTAGCATCACCAGGTATTATTGTTTTCCCACAAAATACCAAACAATGAATGTTTTCTTAACTGAAATTTGGTTTTGATTTTCTCTGTTGGCAATGTAAATAATCTGTCTATAATGCACCTTGCTTTTCTCTTTCTGTGAACAGAGTTAGACAGTAACCTAAAAAGGAGCAGGCTAATGCAGGTAATTTTCTGGTAAAATGATTTCCAACTTTGTAACTACCTTAGGCCGTAGTTTTATCATTTGTAGACAATAAGGGTGCAAATGTCGATGATTTTTTGGCCAATCACTGATCTTTGCAAAGCCTGCCCTCCAAATTCCGATTATGGCTTATATGATTTTTTTTTTGTTTGTTTGTTTGTCAGAAAATATACTAAATATCACAACACAGTTTTTAAATTGGCAACAGTGGAGTGACTATTGTTAACCTAGCAGATGCAGACGTGACCTGGTGGCTGAGTTTGTCAGTCAACCATCTTCCTGCAGAGCAGAAAGGGATAGTGGCTGTCAAACCTTTGCAGAGGCAGATAAGATTAGAGGATAGGATTCATTCCACAGGTAACTGTCGGCTCATTCTCACCTGATCTCCCAAACTTAAAAAAATCAGACCGATTTATCAGGGCACCTCTCATGATTCTTCTAAGCACCTGAATGTCAGTTATTATCCTTTTTTTAACTTCAGGAGATTATGGTAGTCAACATTTTAGACATTATAAAATATTTAATTTTACTTTGTATTCACTCAGTAATTCATCCTCAGCTTTTGGACAAAAAGCATAATTTATTTTTCTTTTTGTCCAAAAATAAATTATTTCTAATTTATTGACCAATCAACACATTTCCCCCAATTTATCAATGGGTGTTTCCTGACCTTTTTCTCATTGTCTAGATGAAGATAATACAGAGGATAGAGGCTCTTATCCACTCCTCTCTGGTCCCGAGTCACTCTGCATTTCACCGTCACACCCTGTGGAGCTGGCTCCATCACAAACGTCTCCAAGTCGTCAAACTCAATCTCAGGTGAGGGAGCTCTCTCCTGATTATGGGACAAGGAATTAGTACATTTTACTGCATTACTAACTCTAAATGTTTGTCGTGCTGTTTTATTACTATAACATAATTTAAATAAGCGTTTACTTTTTTTGGAAAAGCATTTTTAGAATTTAAGCTACCTTCTTCTTCTTTCCTTTAGCCTTTTTCTTCTTTGTCTTCTCTTCTTTCTCTGATTCAGATTCATCACTCTCTTCTACCTTTGCTGTAAGAGAAGACACATTCATTAGACAGGTTGACAAACCCAAACAGTGGAAGAAATGTCAAGCTAAATTGCCTTTTTTCTTTGTCTTTTTGTCTTTTTCCTTATCTGCTGTTGTCTGAAACATAGATGCCGAACCAGCAGTTGATTTCTTTTTTGATTTGCTTAACTTTGTCTCTTCTTCACTGTCATCACTCTCTGATTTGGCAGCTGTTTGGTAAACACAGATCTTAGTTGAATTTCATGCACTTATAAAAACAAATGTCTTTGCTAAGATTGTGCTCTTTACTCAAAAGAACAAGTAGTTAGTATAATATACAACTAATACCAGTTGTTTACATAAAGTTTATTCTGATTTTATGCCAGACAGTGTGTAAAAGAAATCTGGAGGTCTTTCCAGTAAACATTTGGTTTTATCTGTGTATGCAGCTACACAAAATATTAAACATTAGAAAAAAATATGTTATGGTTTTAGAATTAGTACAGTAAGGAAAATCTATAAAATATTAAGTATTGAATTACCTTTCTTTTTGCTTTTAGATGATTTGTCCCCATTTATCATAAACATTGATGCAGGTTCTTTCTTCTTCTCCTTGTCCTTTGATTTTGACTTTTTATCTTTGCCATCAGAATCTTTGTCCTCTGAGAATAGGAAAACAGTAGAGTAAAAAAAAAAACAAAAAAAAAACTATTTACCCATGAAATCGATAGGAAATAATCCTTGGAATAAAAACCAGTAATAATAACACATTTTGAAATAACCAAACATTAAAAGACAGAGGGATAGGAGTTGTTGAGTTGTGCCAAACCATCCAAAGTCAAATTAGTAACATATTGAGGGTGGGACAGATGTGGAACAACAACAGTAATTTTGAGCATAAAGTCTCGATTTTGCATGCATTTAGTTTGACATCTGCTTTTGCTGCTGCTGCAAGCTGTTTTTGTCATATTCAAGAATTTAAGGAATGCGGAAAGAATTAAGGCTTAACAGCTATTTGACCATATTTAGATGTCAAATGCATTTTTTCGCCTTTTTTTCGTGGGGAAATTGTTTAGGAAGCAGATTTAATGGCCTCTTGTTACATGAGGAAGTCGTTTTTCTTCTGTGTAGATTCCAAAAACACAAGCGACTGACTGAGTCTCAGAATGCAAGGCTTGTGTGAAGAATTCAAAACTCCCCACTCAAATTGGTGCCATAAGATCTGCGTCTTCAAAACCTCGATTACACCCACAGTCATGTTAACACTTGCTCCCAAAACCAGTTCCACGGTAGTGAATCTGATAGAACATGCCCCAACACTTAGCTCTGCTAACAAACGACTTCTTAAAGACGTGTTTTGTCTGTGTGATGTTGATAGTAACAAACTTTAGGGCACTTCAGGACTGAAAGCCCTTAGACTGATAGTAAATAAATTAGAGATTTTAGCCTAATGAAATCTTTTCAAACAATTTCTTTCAAAATTCATGTGTCATATCTCTATGGGTTGTACTGGAGCAGCGGATACTAACCGAGCCAAAGCTGCATAATGATGAGTGTGATATTTGAATTTTCTCCCTTTTTGTGAAAGAGGAGAGGTCGTATTGCCCCTGATTATATTATTATAACTTGCCCTATAAACAGGATGCACAAAACACAAGTATGAAATCAGGTATTGTTTTCTTTTAAGAACATTATGACAGTGCTTCTTTATGAGACAGTATTCTGTTCAGAATGATCCAACATGTTTTGTGCTGAAACTTTAAAGGTTGATAGGAGAAAGTTTTAACATACAAAATGAAAAAGGGAAGTAATTAAAATAATTTCTAGAAGAAGAACAAACATTTAAAAATAAGAGATGCATTTTTTAAAAAAAAAATCTACAGTTTTATTTTGTACTTCAAAAATCTTCTTTGGAATACTTTAAGATGTAGAGAAAAGCATTTGCTTTTGCTACATATTCAATTATTTGTTAACACAAATCCCAAATCAGTTTCTCAAATAGCAGCAACTGGGCATTTTGGCATTTTGAATTGTTAAAGCTCAAATTGAGAGTCACAACATGAAAGAAACAAGGGCTAAGTGGCTTTGAACATGTTGCTGTTTTTGGTGTCAGATGGGCTAATCTGGGTGCTTCATAAAACTGCTGGTCTCCTGGGATTTTTGCATTCAATCTTCTCAAAGTTAGAGAGAATGGCAAAAAACAGAAAAAAATATCCAGTGAGCAACTGTTGTGTTGACAAAAAGGCCTCAGAATGACAGAAAGGCAACAGCAGTTCAAAAACCACTTCATTACAACAAAGGTATGCAGATTAGCATCTCCAAACACACAAACCTTGAAGCAAGCTGCTGCAGCAAAAGACCACACTAGTCCTACTCTTGGCACTAAGAACAGCTACAAATCACACAAATGCCAAAATTTGGACAGACTCAGGAAAAATAAAAGTTATCTCTGATAGAGACCTGATATTACAAGCAACATTCAGAAAGTTTGAACCAAAATCCGAGGAATGTTTCTGACACCTTGTTGAATCTAAAACGCAAAGAAATAAAGCTGTTTGGAGGGTAAAAGAGTTCAACTGAGTTCTAGAAAGATATCTCCATAAAGTTACACAATTGTGCAACATAAAGTTGCACAATTATATATATTTTTTTACTTATCAAGTATGTTTATTTAATTGTTGTTTTTTTTTTTTGTTTTGTTTGTTTTTGGCTAACAACCATCACTTTTGGTTGATCAAAGCCTTCTTAAAAAAAGGTGAGGCTATTATTTCAACCTTTAAAAATAAGTATTACAATTTTAAAATCTTCCTGATTTTATTTAGAATTTCAATTTCTTATCTCTGGTTTAATCTGCACCTTTACACTGTTGCTCCTACTGTCAAGGCAGCATTTCCACTTACTCACCATTACACAATAAAATAATCCGATCCGCTTACCTACAGTCTGGTCACATAACTGTTGTTTTAAGCACTTTAATGACTTGGACTGCTCTGAGTTGTAAAATTTAGCAGTGTTGACTAACAGCTAGAAGATTCTGGGTTTTCTCCAGTTTTCTCTCTGGAAGCTGTGATTAGAAGTGGAAATAGATGTGTGTCTGACATAGGGAGTCTTATAAGAGTGTGTTTGCTTATTATTAGAGAACAGTGCACTCATATTCCCACCTCAGGTAAGTAAGTAACTTGAAAAAATGTCTAATGCCAACCTCACAATGGACAAACCACTGAGGCTCTAACCCTACCCTAACCCATATTATTTTTTTTATAGCTTAGAATAAAATAATAATGGCATATATTAGATTATTGCCATCATTTAAGAACATATCAAGGCTACCATTTTAAATATCCTATAAACATCATATATATATGATCATGGATGTTATGTTTTTGTCATACTACATTACTACTCGTAGTTTTTGTGCTTCTAATAAATTACGATGACCTAATATTGCTAAATAACTGACACAGGTAAAATATATGTGAACATTTTAATGTCTTTGCATTTTATTGTACCTTTAGTTTTAGATTTTTTCTCCTTGGTATTACTTGCAGATGGAGAATTCTCCTTTGCTGTTTTTTTCTTTGTTTTCTTTTTTGGGGTATCCTCCTCCTCCTCATCATCCTCTTCAGTGTTTGAGGCTGGAAAAAAAAGCAATTAATTATTATTTAACTCTTTGATTGATACACGCATTTTCAAAATGTATTGGTAGTAACATAAACATAAAGTGTGTGGTTTAAATACTTTTCACACTATTTTAAACATTATTAGCTTCATAACATAATTATCTTATAGTCCCATTTTAATGTTCTCAGAAAACAAGAAAGAACATGTATAAAATATGGAGAAACTAATTTTTAAAATATGGACTTTTGTAATAAGTGTTCTGATAGGCAATTAGGCAGGGTGATGTAGCAGTGTAAGAAAATCAATATTATCTTAATTTGGCCAAAATATTACTTAGACAGTTATGCTACAAGGCTAATGAAATATCTCCACCATGTTTCCACCATTCTAACTAACTGTAGTGTCCAGTGTGTTGACTCACATTTTTTCTTTTTTGGAGCACTTTTGGCTTTCTTTTTTGGCTCTTTTTCTTTATCCTTCTCAGGTTCCTCTTTATCTTTTTCTGGTTTCTTTTTCTTTACTTTTTTTCCACCTATAAAGTTTATGAGTTGTCAGATCTGCCTCAGAAAACATATTTTCCATTTTTTTTATCACTTTCGTAGAAATAGTTGAAATAATTCTCACTTTGAGTGGTGGAGGCATCATCTTCTGCTGCATCTTCACTCTTCTTTGTCTTAGTTTTCTTAGGTTTGCCTTCACTTCCGTTGAGTTTGGCTTCAGAGCTACCGTTGGGCTGTTCTTTCTTCTTTTTTGGCTTCTTTGCGTTTTCTGCTGATAAATCTTAGTTAGATGTGTGGGTTTGTAGGTAATGACATTAGAGCTGAGATGCAATGACATCTTAGGTCTCAAAAACATAAATATTTAAGAACTCACCATTAAAAAGTCAGACGTATGGAGAGAGCAAGGGTAGGAGAATACAAGCAAAATTAAGACAAATTGCATAATTTATCTGAGTAACATTTGTTGAGTTTAAGTGAATAAGCATCTCATTATTGGTTTATTTAATATCAGCAAGGATATCCAGCAGTAGATGCTGAAACTTATTTCTAGCATTGAGTAATTTATTACTATTTCTAATAATACAGTGTTGTTGTATTCAAACTTGCAAAAACCTATTTTCCTGCCTTATTCCCCACTTATACTTAAAAAAATATAAAGTAGACACATTGAGGTGATTCGCTAATGCTTATGTACTGTTTTATTGTTATGTCTGATTTAATATACAAACTCAGGTTTGCAGTAAGACATGCACCTGCTGTACTGCCTACATTTTAAGATGTAAAAGTGTCTGGAGACAACATGTTATCTAAACATATTTTAATTTCATTTATTCAAACATTCTCATTTGTTGCAGAATATCATAGTGCATTTACAACAATATCAATATCTATGTGGGGAGGTGCATATTTTCTTTAGAATAACCCAAATTCTTGTATTTTCATGGTTTCCAAAATGAGCTACTGTCATGACCCAAGGCTCAAATGACACTTTGACACTTTTTATGACATTTTTCTTCCTATGCAATCATTTGTACAAGGGATAATGTTCCCCAGAGGTTGATGAATGTATAACCCAGTATTTTCCTTTAGCTTTGCACCAAATGACTCGTACAAGATGTCACAGTGTTACAAGTTGTAAGGTCAGTGTGATTGCAGTTGGCGGAAACACAGGGGGTAATCCTATTAGGTTCAGATCCTGCATCCATGGAGACTATTTGTGTCTGCAGAAAATACAAACTCAGATTGATGTGAAGTGTGCTCCAATGTGACAACCACATTGTAATGAGTTGTTGTTTCCCAGAAGTTGAAAACTCACATAGCAAAATCAAGGCAATCTGCCCATTTTAAATTAAACATACAACTTAAAATCTAATAGTTAAATCTTTGATCAAATATTATATATTTAACAAAAATGTACTTGAAACACCTATAAAAGTGCTCAAAAGGCTTGCATAAATATCAGACAATTGAGATATCAACATTTATTAAGCTCTAATTTAATAATTCTGCAGTACTGGATGAGTAAAATGACTTTAGCTGGATTTTGCTTTCCTTGTTCAGTAGTACTCACATATAATGTCAAAATGACACTTGATTCAAATTACTTTTTTTCCTATTCATGATGAAATCATTGAAATGGTCCAGTAGAATGAGCCATTACCTTTAGCACAATGTATTAATTCACTGGTTTAACTCATATGTTAGCATAAGTAAACCAAATTGTTATCACAGATATAAGTAGAAGACGCAACAATTCTGTTTCTGAAATGACTTTGAAGTCTAATCAACATAAAAATCTAAACAAAGGCCAATTTCTTTTGTCTTTTGTGTGACCATCTTTTCTAGTTGCAAATTAAAGTTGGCATTTTGAAAATATATATGCAAAAAAATCAAAGACATTCTAGCCAATTTCTTACCTTTTCTGCAGACATGGCTTGCTCTCCAAATTAGGATGCACTATTGACTCTTTTTCAATTAATAGAAAGTAGTAAAAACCAGATTCTCACATAGATAAAAGAACGAGAAAGCCCTGAACTTAGTGTGATGTCTCTATCAGCAGAAAGTTGCTAATAGGATTTATGTGTAAAGCCATCTGCTCTGCAAGAAACACGTCAACAGGAGAAACCAAGGCAGCCTCAGGAGGAGGGACCTGAGTTGTTTGTCATGTAGGTCAACATTTAGTAGAAGAAATGTACTTTTTTCCCAAAATAAAGCTGCAGCTTCTCCGCAAATCCTAAATCTCAAGAAAGCAATAAGTGACAATGAAGGACCCAGTCTATTGTGCAGAAATTCTTCCTTTTAGAAATCTTCCTCTGACCAAACTACTAAATATTTGAAAATAACTCTGAAAATGTGTAAAACTTAAAAACTTTTACTAACTTGGTAGAAATTAAGAGATGAGCAGAGAACTTTTAACACATCATCTCAATTGGATCAAGAAAACTTTAGAGATTCTCTGCCCTGGAGTGACTCTGCGCATGTATGGATGGCAAGAACATAAAGAAGGATTACGAGAGGCAAAAAGTGTGACATCATCCTTTGGTAAGGAGGTCATTGTCCTGCAAATGTCTTCAATGTGTGCCACAAGATTATTTTTCATTATTTATTCATGTGAACTTTTAGAATTTACAAATAGACACATTTTATAACTCTGCGACTCCTCCAGAAGATTAACCCACTTGTAGACAGCAATCGCCATTCTTCAAAGAACAGGTCAGGTTGAGTATGGTCAGTGTAAAGTAGGTCTGCCTGACAGCAGCATCTTACTGGTTAAGCAACACTTGGCCGGGAACTTTGGAAAGAGGGTGTGGTGAGGCGTTTACACTCATTCAGAAAACCACAAAGCTTCACAAGTGATGGAAGACACAAAGAAAATAATATAACCAGTAAACTAAATACTTCCAGAGAAATACCTGAGCCAAGTTTTTATAAGCCATAGACAAACTCTAAGCTGGTAATTACCTAAATCTCTTTTCGCAAGGTGAAGCTGGAGGAGCAGAGCTGATGCTAAAAGAGGTCAAACCCAGGTTTTACCTCTTTATGCAAATAAATATGTCACTACAAGCGAATCCTTTCTCCTCACATAGTTTGGTGGAAAGGTGTCACATGATCCCCCACACCACCACCATCAACAACAATGCACACACACACACACACACACACAAACACACACACACACACACGCACACCTGCACGCACAGACACACGCACACTCCTCACACACCATCACATCAGGATGTTCTGAACCTTAAAGCAGAGATACTTAGCCAATCATTTTTACCATTTTTGGTAGAGTTCAGACGTGATAATTTTGATTTTGAAAATTTCCATTTAGAAATAGATTGGTAAAGAGGGAAAATCATAATTTTTCTATAGCAGCGAGGAAAAGCCTCTCTGGTGTTTCTTGTAACAGCTTAAAACACATTAATTTGTTCTTGCTTTTCATTATTTGAAATGTTTTTACATTTCAAGTAATTGATAATTCTTGTTCTTTTATTGTTAAAGGACTTGTGTAATACAATTAATAATTGAAATACAAATCACGAATTATAGCATATAAGTGAACAGATATTAGACCAAAAAGAAAAGAAAACACTGAACATATTAGATGTTTTTGTACTACAAAATTGCTAAATTATGTTCTGCAATAATATTTATAAGTGTCATAGCATTGGGATTGATAATTACTTTATGAGTTTTTATGTAACATATAAACATATTGAAAAAACCCCACAAAACGTATGCGATATTTTCTTACATTTGGATTTCTGTACATATGATTTTCAAAGAATCATAAATACAGTCAGAGGAGACTTTCCACAGCCCTGGATAAGACCAACAATAATATCTTTCTGACAGTCTTCTTTTGTAAACGTTTCAAAACTAAGTGTAATTCCCTCTTCCAGCCACCAGAGGCTGCTGTACACAAAGACACAAACATTCTGACCACATGGGGAGATGCTGATGTAATGTAGATGTTATGCTTCACAGATGGGCAGACTCAACCTCAACAGTACTGAAAGATGTACATGTCAGCTGAAATTTGTTTGTAAAATGACGTGGTGTATCCACATGTTATCCAGGTTCAGACTGACCTGCAGGCAGAGAGCTAACAGAGGAGCGGACAGATCACAGCTGCAGTGACCAACAACACATGGTGGGACATAAAGAAGGAGGAGTAGTTTGTAGCTTTATAAGGCCAGACTCTTTGTGCCTGTGCATTGATGTTCTGGTCACGCAGTCCAGTTTGTTGACTGTGAAAAGGCTCCAGACTAATGGCTTTGCTGGCATTTCTGCAAATGGTTGACAGTAACATGGCAGTTGGCAGGGAGCCTAAGGAAGGCCACTGACCTCCAGGGAGCGACAGTGAAGCCATTGTAATCTTAAAGAGACAGAAACTTTCCCTTCCATTTGAATTGTGAATTATGTTTCAGCATAGGAAGATGGTAAACAATCTTGAAGGAAAGTGAAGGAGGAGTACAGGTTTTATTAGTGAGATTCCGATTTAATCAGTTTTATCAAGTACTCAAGGACCGTACGTATCTTGGAGAGTCGGCAGACAACAGTGTGTCAAATGAATCCTCAGAAATACAAAACTGTAGCGTCTAAAACATTTTTCTCCTTTTTTTTTTTTTTACCGGCCTGACCTATCCAATATGACAGTATTATAAGGAACCACAAGTAATAGTCTAAAGAAGAAATGTTTTAATTTCTGTTGTAGTTTAGAAATATATACTCTTGTTGTATTATTGGGAACATTTACGTTGTATTCAAAACCATACATTGTATATGAATTAAGTACTCCAAGTAAATATCTACCAAGTAATGAAAATGGGATGTAGCAGAAATTCCATGATTATTCTTGGGGCTTTGCTTGTTTCAAGCTGGTAGAACGGAGCCGAAACGTCAGGATGGCTCTATGCTCTACAGACCTTTGAATTTAACAGACTGAACTAAGCTGGATCAAACTAGAGTGTGTTTAATTGTTTTAAACTTGTGATAGTCTTGGAGAAAACAGTGCCTTCAGTATTCCCTCAGAAAATAACATCGGAAGATGTTTTTTTGTTGTTGTTGTTGTTTTTTTTTATGTATTCCTGTCAGAAAATAAACGCAAATCCCTCTGGAGTATAAATTCCTTCTTGGAAAGTTTTAGGTGACCAAGAATCCCTGACTTCAAACGCAACATTACTGCTACAACAGTTAGCAAATCTCACTCATTTTGTAACCAGAAGGCACTCAATTTAGGTGAGTCATCACTCCCAGATTAGAGCACTAATCTTTGAGGCAAATCAGATGCAGTACAATGCCCTGAAGGGACTTGCTATGTACATGTTTCATGTGCAGCAAATATCTGAAATGCAGTGTAAAAGTTAGTCTGATCAGTCAAGTTCAACAATTTGCTAAATATAAAAAGAATGTAGTCTCTCATATTTAGTTTACAGTGCCTAGGAAAAGTCTACGTATCTACCCCTTTAAACTTTTTCTAAAACACTTCAATAGATTTTAATGGGATCTTACCGAGAGAACAACATTATTAACTGTAGTTCTAAATATACAGAAAATGGAAATTGATACAGGACTTAAAATTCTTTATGTAAATAAAATCTGAAAAGTTTGACATGGATCTGTATTCAGTTCCCCTGATTCAGCACTTTGTAGATCCACCTCTCACTCTATTTACAGCTGCAAGTCTTATGGGGAATCTCACTACCAGCTGCACATCTACAGAGATTTTGGCCAATCCTCACTGCAAAATAGTTCAAGCACAGACTGGATACAGCATCTGTTTTCAAGTCCTTCAGATTCTTCAGCCAGGTCATTCTAGCAGAGGAATATGCTTTGATATAAACTCCAGTCCTCACATAGGCCGGCATCCTGCATATTTTATATGTGCACTTATTCTAACAAAACTGAATTAATTTGCCATGTCATCAGTGTTCTGCTTGTGGACCGTTCATTTTATTTAGCTCAGTCAGACTGGATGAAAATAGTTTTTGAACATCAACATTCAAGTCTTGTTATGGATTAACAATTGGTTTTAGGTCTGTATTTTGAAAAGGCCAGTATAGCATGTAAAAGCATTCAGCTTCTATATGCACCACAAATCTGGAGCAAACGTCCATAAAATTGTAGAACAGGCGAAACACTGAGTTCCTTTAAATCTAGACCAAAACCACCTGTCCAGAGTTGCTTTTGAACCATAATAAATGAAACACTAACCAACATTTTGATGTGTAATAATGGCATTTGGCAAAATGTAATGTTTCAATTGTTGATGTTTGTGTTTTTATGATGTAAAGTACTTTGAACCGCCTTGTTGTTGAAATGTGCTATACAAATAAATGTGATTGATTGATAAATTATCAATCAATCAATCAACCTAACCATAACCCAAAAAAACACTTCATCCTAGTGCCCAAACTTTTGATCAAAAAATGTTTTTTCGAAACTGATGTGTTTCTATGAAACAAATTTAATTTTGAAATGTAAAAGTGCATAGATATATCATTAATAGAAACACAGCCTGTGACTCTTCCATAAAGTCCAGATGCCGGAGAGTAGGAACATTTCAAAAGAAATGTTCAAAAAAATATGTTCAAAAGTTAATTTCAAGGGTTCAAATTGTTAAGCCAAACTTTTTTTTCAAGTCATGGTTGATCTATGCAGCTTCTTTATAACAACTGACAACTGAAGGTAACATAATTACTTGATTGTGCTAAAAAAAATTGCACCATATGCCTGGAAGATACATAGTACCGCCCCTTTAAAACTTTGTTCAGATTTTATATCAAAACTGACAATAGTAGAAAAACAATAACGGATGATCAGTTATAAGTCTTAGAAAAAAAATATTCCACTATGCTTTCAATAGGAGAGCTACACCAAAGTCTAGATGAGAGTTCCTCAAACCATTACAGTACAGGAAGAAAAGACAGCAGCCAGAACCTTGTGTGAACTATAACACAAGCAGTGCTGAGCCCCAGGAGAGTTTGACATATATCTGGAAAGTTGGACGCAACATTCAGGAAATAGTGCTGCTGCACGCATTTCCTTTTCTGTGTGTGCTCTGTTTGATAAGGATCAGAATATGTGGAGCAATTCAAATGACCATGGATCTTGATAACAGGAAGGCTTGGAGCTATGCTGGCATGAACAAAAAATACCCCGAAGGCAGAGAGGAAAAGAGTGCCACTGCGTGGAGAGTCCAAGAAAGAGGGTGAGGGGAGGAGAGACCGCAAACGCCAGACCTCCTGAAACTCGTCTCCTTTGACTTTTCTCTTTTTTCTTTTCCTGGGACAGGCATTGCTCTTTTGAAATCGTGCCAACGAAGGCTGGCTCAAATCCTTGCAACTGAAAGTTTTACAAGCTCAGTGCTCACAAACAGGAAGAGAAAGACACCGAGAGATTAGCAAAAGGGAGATTGTTGCTGCTGTCTTCTTGTCTTTACTCAGAAAAGTCATTCATACTTTTTTTTTTTGCAAATATCAGTGAAGTAAATTCTTGGAAGGAGGACTGCACAGAATGAGAAAGGATTAAAAAAAAACAAACATGCAAAGCAGAATCAGCCTAAAGGACAAAGAGTTGTGACGTCACACACAAAGCTGTCTTGGATATTGCCTGATAAAAGATACTGATGTTTTCTAATAAGGCTGAAACTATTATTTAAGTTACTTTTATTTTCTGGGATTTGTTCTTTTTCAGAGCTCAACCCTGATTCATGCCCTATTTTTTCTTTCTTTTTGCTTTAGATTTTTTAGAGTCCTAAGATCCGATTTGTTGCCTTAGTGTATTTAGCAGTAAAAAATTTCCTGTTGTGTTGACATTGGACACTAGTTTACTACCAAAAATACTGTCAGACTAATGAATCTCAGTGCTGACCATTCTCCTTTCTCTTTTCTGTAAAAAGTCTGCATAAAAAAAACAAAGGCAGGTGCAGACCAACTGAAGACGTCTGGAGCAACCACTGAAAATGGGAACTGTGAGGCATGTACTACCTGGGAATGATGCCAGCTGCTGACAAAAGGCTTTACTGCACGGCTCTGAGACAAGACTTTAACTCACTCGCTTCAGGACAACTCAGCACCAAACTGTTTGGCCAGCTACAGATAAATCTTTCAACCCTTTTAGCTTTGTTACCAGACAGCAAGTAAGTACTCATTTCTAATTTCTTTAGTAAATAGCTAAATAGCTTTTAAATTACTTTTTCTCCTTCAGTCAAGTGGGATGTCTATTCGACGACACATAATCTACATCGCACATGACTGCTGCACTTATGAGTTTAATCAGCCAACTGTAGCTCTGTGTCAAAGCTAAATTCTCTCTATACTTACAGCATAATCAGCGTTCTTTGTGATTTGTGGGATGTGTGGAAACGAGATTTTCTAACTTAGTGATTTCTTTTCCTGCCTTCTTTTCTGTGCTTCTTGGCAATCATGTAAAAGTGGGCAGGGAGAGAGGAGGGCATGGCCCAAAAGCTGCTCTCAAGCCCCAGCCCCTGTTCGAGTGGGGTTGCACACTTACACACTGCTCAGCCTTTCCCTCATTCCTCAGGCGAAAGAAAGAGGTGTGGAATAGCATTCTTTTCTTCTTTTTCAACCAACGTTTTTTGTTTTTTCCCTCATCAACACCTTGTCCTTATTGGCAGTGTGTGACCGCTAGCCTGATATTGACATAAAAAGACATCAGGTATTTCTAATTTCTTTTTCTGGTTCTATTTGGGCCTTCGTTGTCCTTTTGTAACGAGGCCTCCTTTATTTGTGTCTGATCGTGTCTCAAACATCTTTTAATATTATCTTCTGCCCAACACAGATCTCGCTTTTGCTAACAATACAGAAATCGGAGTAGTTTAAACTTGAATTTTGTTTGAATAATGCGATCATGTTTAAATGCATTTGTTGTTGCTCATTGTTTTCAAATATACATAGGAAAAAATTGTATTCATGTTAATGTTGGATCGTAAGAATAAAAGACATATTTGTGGCTCTATATTCTCTGTTTTAACAAAAAAACAAACAAACAATGTTTTGGTGCAATCTTCAAATCACCAACCAAATAAACAGTGATTATTACCTCTAAGTTTCAAACAGGAAGTTCTCAGTAATGAAAGGGGCTCAAAATCTGCAGTCAGACACAACATTGAAGTGTAACTATCACCAGCTATCCAAAATCGCCCACAAAACAAAAATACTCTTTTGGGCAAATGAGCTGATCACATGTTTCAAACGGTTTGTATTGTTGCTTAAAATGCTCTTGGATGGTGTCCTTTGATTAACCTGTTTTAAAAACCAGTGTAAACCTGATCTTTCTGTGGAAAACTGTTCTGCTCATGAAGAGGCTTGTGTTACCAGGATGAGGAAATTCTGCTTCAGATCAAATAGACTTGATTTGTTTGGACTGCTTTTCTAGTCACTAAAGCATCAAAACACGCATGTTCAGTAGTTGCTCTACAGGAAAAAGTATCTTTTATTTTCACTTTACATACCACTCAGTTTCTCTTTACTATCTGTAACTGTAGCTTTTGCATTACATTTGCATAGATTTATGCTGCACCATGTAAAGTTGTGTAAGCCAGCTGGTGAAGTTGCCAGTTGTAGGCATCTGTTTGAATGTATGATGCAAACATATTATTACATATGGTAACACACATAGAGTGAATGAAGAAAAACAAAGTGGGTGGGAGCCAGGAGAAAAAAAAAGGAGCCTATTCCCTCCGCCCCTTAAGTTCTCCTCAGATGAACTTGCCATATAGCTTGATGACATGTTGTTTGGAAAGCCACGTCTTCCGCTATTTGTCTTTCTCTCCTCCCCATAGCTGGTGTGACTCTGTGGTCGTCAGGATCAAAGTCTCGTTTTGCCTTTTTGCTTTCATCAGGTCAGACTGCACACACTTAATCAGTTCTTCCTGTTAGCAAAACTGTTTCAGGGCCTATAAACAGCACTTGATCAAACTCTTTGGAGTACAGCCGTCTTACAAAAGACTACCAAGAGAAACCATTAAGCAAAAGCTGTGAGAGATCTCTTTAGACAGACTCTAAATAGTCGGCCAGTGTTTTACCATCTGTCTTTATCTTTGTGGCAAGTTTTCCATTGAATGACTGATTCAAAGTTGACAGTGGTTTACTAAACAAACTTTAAAACACTGCCTTATGATCATCGTAGCTCCGGCACTGATTTCAAGCAGCTAACTCATCAGGAAACTCATCAGGAAAACCATTAAAAGTACTTGCAGACTTTCACACCCCACAGCTCTTAAAAACATGTTGATGCAAAATCATACTTGAAAACAGTTGGTAGTAGATACTGGAAATGACCGCAAATTGTGGTCTTTAAGTTTTATCATAATAAACATAAAACAATCAGACCATCACATACTTCTTTAAGTAACTACATATGCTAGCAGTGGAACTGTCAATTGGTTATATTTTGTACCACTCAGACTGGTTAGTGTTGAAAAATCTAATCCATAGATTGTACTATAATCATCTACAAGCACATTTTTGGGAGGTTAGGGGGCGAGTTCAGTGCAGACTTTCCATGAATACAAAATGTAAAAAATGTTTTAAAGAATCAGGTGCAGTGAAAACCTGGAATCAGCCATTAATAGCCACAATTAAAACAACCTCATAAAGACATGGATATTGAAATTAATATGCTAATTTTTAAAATGCTAATTTTGTAGCTTCCTACAACACTAGCTTTTCCAACTTCCTATAACCCATTAAAACAATGGGTTATATATATATATATATATATATATATATATATATATATATATATATATATATATATATATATATATATATATATATATATATATATGTATGATCTCTCACAAACCAAATACTTTTTTAAACGTTAAGTTAGATACATTCACAGTGATTCCAAGGTAAACGGTAAAAGCCCTGAGGTGTATCAGTACTTAAATAGTCATTATAGCTATTTTTGTTAAGGGGGGTTGGTCACAGGCGTGTGCAACCCAAGTTGGACATGGAGCATAGCTTCACTCCACACATTACCAGCCCCAGTTTCTGGTATTAATGCTCAGAGACCAAGGCAATGAAAAATTGCTGCAATATCATAAGGGATGTCATCAGATATTTCACATCATAAAGGTTCTTTACTATTTTTTTCCTGAAATTGTAGGTCACCAATTGCTGTCTCAGCAGTACGATTCTTTTATTGACATTTTTTCTCTGGTGAGTTGTTGTAGCCCAACCACAACATTTGAACATTAGTGTCCTCTGCAGCATTTTTTTTGACTAGTGAAAAGAACAAGCATTCAAGGCCCATTTAGATTCATCTGCCAGATTTGTCTTATTTTATTGTTTGTGTTGAAATTGGGCAGGAAAAAACCTGGTTTTGTTCTGGGTGAATGTATAACACTATTGAGATAATTACATGTCATCCTGTCATAAGTGCAACAGCAAAGAGGGCAACAAGTTGTAAAACATTGCAGGGACATTTTTTAATGTCTCTGATTATAAAAGTAGACACAAGAAGATATTTTTAAAACTGCAAACCAACGTCTTTAAAAATATAACTTGCTTAATGTGATTAGTCATCAAAAGAAACCACTTGATTGCAGCTTCCTCTATTCCTTTCCCTCAAAATAATTTCTAATGTAACACTGCCATTTGGATACATAAACAGAAAGACGTGATCACCATCTATTTTACATTTGACCTCTACCCTAATTGGACACAATCTTAAGCCAGTTGGACATTAGATATCCTATTATTTAAAAAAAAAAAAAAAAAATCACCTCTAATGATGATTTGTCCATTATTTAATGTAATGCACCACAGACACAGCCAGATAAAAACTTGTATCTGTTGTCAAAAAGAGAAAACAAAGTTCCAAGGTAAGTGTTTACTTACAGGGCATACACGTTGGTCAAGAAAAAAAGCAAAATGCATGTTTTGACAGAAATGATGGAAAATAAAATTTAAGCCAATGGCAAATGTGATTGGTGGGGAAACGAATGTCAAATTACACTTCTGTAGTTTAACTGGCACATCAAGAAAAGCAAATCACAAAAAAACAGAAACCGAAAAGTGACTGCAGGAAAAAAATCAGTGAATAATACTATCCAAGTTAAATATTTTATGTGACAGAAAAGTACGAGGCACCAACCTCAAAATACCTTTGTTCTAAGCTGCCAAGCATTTTGTTCCAGATTTCCACCCCACAAACTGAAATTCACAAACTTATTTTTGGCTTATGAAGATTTTTTTAAATTCTCTTTGTCTCTTAAATTATAGCCCCAATCTTTGTCACTAAGCTATATTCTTTGGATATTGCCTGAAAGTGAAGTACGGATATAATAAATGCCATTTTGAAATTAATCCAATCATCCAGGTTTAATATCTGCAACTTGAAAAACTGAATTTTTTATTCCCTGCATTTCCACAATACTGATTTCTCATTTTAATATGTATACTTTTAAGATGCTGCTTTTCATAAAGCTACATGTGTCACAGAGCTTATAAGGAAACTAAATAAATGCTTTCTTTTATTATAGCTTTGATATAAAATGGAATTGAACTACTCTATTTATTGCAGCAGTTCAGTGGTTTAAATGCCACTTCTGCTTGGTGAATGGTTCCTGAAACTTGAACATGTTGTGGACATTTTCTAAAAACAGGAATATCTAGCAGAATAGAGACAAAAATCACAATTAAGCTCCACATAATGCGACTCTAGTGGAGCTGCCACTAAAGTAGCAAACCTCGACCAACAGAGATTGTGATTCATTTTGCTTTAACTGTATACATTACAGTACATCATCAACGTAGAATTCTGCTGGAAAAGAAGGTATTGGTTTATGTACATAGTTTCAATTGGTATGTATGATTCACTTTAGTGATATAAAAGAATGTTGTTGATATTTTTTTCTGCTAGTAAGCCATTGTCAGAATATTCTAATATCAGTTTGCATTTGATTAATTCAACATCTTAATTAAGACTACTTGCTGTCTGATGCCCTACTGTTTTTTTCAGCCCCACTGAGCATGCCCTGCTGGCACAGCCATGCAGCCTGCCAAAACATTTCAATCTCTGCTGGCATTAATTGGGTAAAAAGGAATTGAGAATGTCAATGAAAAGCATAGCCGCCTTTCAGCTAACATGGTTCACATGTTAATTTATGCAAAGTGTCCCAGCCTTTGCATGGTTTGACCATTGCCTTCTACTATAGCAGTGTCTGGCCTCAATTTTCCCTGTCAAAGCGCGGCCTCGTCTAGACTTGGCCACTCACCCAGCTTGTGTCCCAGCTTCTAGCTGGCACAGTACACAGACTTCTTTTCAATGGACTTGAAGTGGCTGTCACGCTGAACTAAAAAAGGGCAACTTCCAGACATCTATGTTTGGTTCCCCACATCGCATTATATTGGAAAATTATAAACCGTAGAGTCTCTGAGATAAGTCACAAGCAAGCGAATCCCTTAGCTGTACCATAAGTCCATGGAAAAGAAAGACAGAGCTTACAGGCAGGCAGAGCAAAGAGTAAGCAGTTCACATGCTGCACCACAGATGTTAGGTGCAGCTGCCAAACAACTCCCTAAAATGGAAAATGTAGGTTTCAAGGTATCTTTGTTCTTATTTTATTTGATTTTCTTCACTTTACGGTTGGAGAAATACGAGAGTGAACTGAGGAAACTGTACCTAAATTTGAAAGACAAACATCTAAGTTGATTTTTTTAATCATTATTATGTTGTTTTATATACTATTTGTTCTGAATATAGATTATTTCTCCATATTTTTTGATAGATCAGTAAGGAACACATTTTTATGATGTGAATGTTTGACATGTCAGTTGTGAAGAAATCTTTTTTGCCAGTCATAAGCTGATAAGTGTGTAATGACCATTCCAACCACAATGCCCTTCAGACTTCATGCCACCCCTGATAAAGATGTCCTCACAACTTTATGATGAACGTACTCTTATGCTAAACATAAATGTTCAAAAAAAGCCAGTCTGTAACCTACATTCACATTTAAACAGTAAAGAAAGCAACTCTATTTGAATAACTGATATTTTCTGCAAAAATATTGGCACCCCTGTTATAGAACCCCCTTTTACCACATGATTTTCCCTCATCTTCATCTATGACATTTTTCAATGGTTGCACTGCAATTGTTGATCCTTCTTCTCTGTGAAAAAGGATCAAATATCATTGTTGGTAATGATCTTTTCACAACACAGAAACTGTGCTCTCTTACTTTTAGGTCGCAACACATGTTTTCTAAACATTTTAGAACTGAGGACTGCGATGGTAATAAATGAAGGTTGTTTTTTTTAGGTTTGGTGAAATATGTGTGTGTTATTTGGCCTTATGTGACAAGATAAACCTGGTTTTGTTTGTTACAGTTCCAGCTAAATTTGTTTTTTATTGCTTTGACTATTGTATATATGAACAAGCTCAGACAGATAGCTATTTCCTCTAGATTTTTTTTCTTGGTTTTCCTGTTTTGAAAACTGGCGAAGAGAAATGGCCCTTCGTGTCACATCATATTCTTCCCCCAGGTAAAACAGGAAGCCATGGATTACTAAGTGAAACTAGATCCTCTGATCTATCCCTCCTAATCCTAAAGAGGGATTGATTTTAAGTTGTTTAAACATCCTTAGCAGGTAAATAAACAGCTATTTGCTCAGATAGAACACTTCCTAAACAATAGTAGTTTAACAGTATCTCTTGGAATGTTTGTGATTGCTTAAAAACATAGTGAGAAGAAAAAAAGAACACTTTGATACAATTGTTTCCCAATTGCATTAAAAAGCTTAAATACATTTAATTTCAAATGCTTTGATGTAGGACCCCCTACATCAAAGCATTTGATGTAGGGGGAAAATAAGCAGTCTTATTTTCTGCTTTTATTCACAACTATAATGACAATCATGGTTCGGGGAAAATAAATGTTGTAAATACTGAAAAATAACTTTACCTTTTTATGTGTCTCATAGGTTCAAATGCCAGATTTCCACACCTACCTGAAACATTATCTGTCCTTAAGGCTGAGGTAGTAGATTGAATAGTTGTGGGGTTCACGTCCTCCTTTTGAGATAACTATACAATCTACTGTCTTTCCAAAGGAAACAGAATAAGCCTCGGTTCAAGCCAAGACTTCATGCACTTTAGAAGCTTCTTCAGTTAAGGAACTCAGAAAAGAAATAAACGCTCAACTTAAAGGCACTTAAAGGCTCCTCTGAAGACACATGCAGGCACAGGATTGTCATTACCCAGCTGCTGCAAGAAGTTTATTTAAAAAGACATCATTTTTAATATTTGAGCAAGAAAACATTTTTTAAAGAACATAAATACATACTTGAAGTTGAGCCTAGCAAGGTGAGGTAGTAGGTTGTATAGTTTGTGGGATGGAGCAAATCCTACTCAGGTGATAACTATACAGTCTATTACCTTCCTTGAAAGGTACAATGAGTGCTTGGAATCCCTCTCACTGGCTTATAGACATAGTCTCTATCGCCACTGTGTGGCCAAAAACGAATAAATGGTTACACTCTGAAATATGGATATATTTGAAGTTTTAAAGCCAGATGCATGAAAGTTTTAAATATAAATTTATAATTAAATGTATTTTGTGAGAATGTGTAGCATTAAAAAAAGAAACAATGATTGCTGATTTTCAATATGGTTTGATTTTCTTTTTATAAGATATTAAAATCCATAGATATTGAATTTAAAGAAATGTATACTTTGTGTTAGTAACAGTCACGACCTTGGTGTAAAAAAAAATAACCACACTGTAACATTAACTACTGAGGCAAGAGAAACAAATTTTAGTCTCTACTCCCTTGGTCATGTATTTTGAATAAAAATGCAAAAACAAAAAAATCCAAGTGTCTTATTCATAACACTTCAAATGCCGTGTTCAGTTTTACTTTGCAAATTTTAAAAGAGAACTCAGCACAAAAAAGAAAAAAAAATTCTTATAAGAGGACAAATATTTATTTATTATTATTATTATTATTATTATTCTTATTATTATTATTATTATTATTATTATTATTTTTTTTTTTTTTTTTTTTTTTTTGCAGAGTATGATTAAAATAAGTATGATTAAAACTTGTTTGTTTTTTTTGCTTATGGTACAAAAACTTCTAGTCTGATGTTCACTGTCAGACTCTAAGAGAACATAGACACAAGCATGACAAATTGAAAATTGCACAAATGCTATTTGATAGGTGTGTTATGGATAGGCACAACTTAAATACAAATCAAGAATTTATGTTTCTATTTACAAAAAATAAACTAAAAACAAAAATGCAAACATTTCTTTAATTCAGTATTCACTCCATACAAAAAGGTCAGTAACATTGTATTCACTCGTGGGCTTAGCTGTGTTTAGGGGCCCAAACAAAATTCTATTTCGGGTGTCATACAACCGGGGGCAGCTCTGTCTTTCAGTCTGTATTTATTCTTTAACCTTGTTTTTCAAACTCAGGAGTGGACAAGCAATCCATTTGTTCCGGAAAACTCCAGACAAGACCGTAAGCAGACCATGTTCTCTTAACCAAAAAGCTATACTGAGCAACTCTACCAGCCAACAACAGTAGGGGGCGTTGCTCCTTTACGTGTTACTGAAGAGGAGGAGGATCCCCACATAAAGCTTAAGTATGTGTGTGTGTGTGCGCACTGGTGGAAGCAGAGTGATACAAGATAGAGTGAGTTAGCAATAAAACCTGACTTACAGAGAATGTGTAGATTGCTACAGTAACAAACAGTAACTCCTGAAACTAGATGCCAGGTTCAGTTCCACTCTACTGTAGGAAGTGAAACAAGCAGCAGCTTTTTAAAGGAAGCATCTCCTCAGCACCTATAAGTCTGGAGGCTCTAGCAGGAAAAGTTAACACAAGTAAAAACCAACAAAGAATAATTACATATTAGGGTAACAGGTGTGCATAAGACTGACATGACTCTGTCATAAACATGACATAACACCTGTCATGAACATAAAGAAGTCTTTATGAATGTTTATGACAGTTGTCATGAAGTGTCATTCGATAAATAATGACACTTTTAATGCAAAGTTGCTCTAAAAGTTGCATTGAAAGTCCATTAAAAATGCCAACTTTGCATTAAATTATCATAATTTACAAAATCATGCAAAGTTGGCACATTCATAAAGACTTCTTTATGTTCATGACAGGTGTTATGTCATGTTTATGACAGTGTCATGTCAGTCTTATGCACATCCCTTCAAATAAAGTGTTACCTATAATAACATATGTGTACCTACAGTACACATAAAAATAACATTTTAAGAGAGCAACAAATGAGAGTCCTTTTAGTGGAACTGTACCAGCCCCTGGCAGCAGCTGAAGGGATGTAGTTGTTGGGGGTCAAACAAATCAGTGAGTCACCAGATGGAAGTTGAACTACAGGCTGGTGGTTGCGAGGGACAGAGGAAATTTCAGCAGAGTTGTCAGTAAGTATCCATGCAGATGGAAAATAGAAGGAACCAGCTCTCTGTCTGTTTTTGACAGGATTTCCATGGTAATGGTGGTGAAAAAGTTGGTTTTATTACTGTCGAAATTTGATTTTTTTTTATCTTAACTGTCAGTTTATTTTTCTTAAATATTACCTTCACACATGAAGATGCAAAAAAATATCAGAAAAATTATTTTGCAAATCTTTGTTCTGTTATTTTTCTCTCTTTCCTCTACTTTGTTTTTTTTTCTGTAGTGAACAATATTTAAATTGTATATTTTTAATTTCCACATGTTTGTTTTTTATTCCATCTACTTTATTTTGTGAACAACACAAAGCAAAGTAACAACACAGTGAGGTTTCTAATACCTTCACAGTTGGGTGAACAATTCATGATAAATAAATAAACAATCAGCACTATACATTGTAGATAAACAAAATCTAACTAAATTAAATTTAACAGAACTGAAAAAAAAACATAATGTCTTTTATAAGGTGTTAATACAAATCTGACTCCAACTGTACGTATTGGTAGTCAGAGATTAAATAAATTCTAAATAAGCTTCCAAAAGGGGAAGTTTCATAGAGATATATTACTGAATAAAGAATATATCTGGGTGAACACAAAAAGAGACAGCCATCATATTTTAAAAAGCAGAGTTGTAATAAACAAATTCACACAGCATAGGAATTCTGCTCTGGTGCTTTTATTAATATGACACTCAAAAATACTTTAATGAATCTAAAAAAATATGGCTAATATGGCTAGTATGTTGCTAATATTTATGACATTGGAAAACTTGTGAGAAAATTCTTGTGAGAAGATTCTTTGTAAAACTTTGAAGTTCGGGTACTGCATTACCGTGAACTTTTAAACCTTAGTGCTTTTCAAACTATGCCAGACAAGATTGCTCAGTTTTCTGATGTGGTTGTTTATTGTGGTATTGCAGAGAAGAAGTATGAAGATACATGTTCCTTTTTACAGATATGCATGACAACAAACAGATGCAAGTCCCTCTCACCCCTCACCCCCACCCAAACACAAATAATAAACTGAATAATCCAGATAATGTTCAACATAAAGCTGATTTCACTTCTAATTAAGACTGAAAGCAAACTATCAGCCAGTCTGGATGGCCTATTTACTTTTGATCATTTAAAATAGTCATTGCCAGAAGATTATATAAGTACAAGTTAAGATTAACTTAAAATGAAGTGGATTTAGTATGCACTTTCAAGATGAACGGAAACTTAAACTCAAACATTGATAAACAGTGATATGAAACTGCTGGGACTGAAGCTTGCTAGTCTTAGTCAAGTGGAAGTGGGTTTCTTTGCAACAAACATTTTGCAATACACAGAAGTAGCTGTAAAAATACAAATTCAACTCATGAGTATGAAACAAAAATTGTTACAAGTTATTTGTTAGGTATAATTGAAAAGCCAATATTTTTTTTGTATCTTCAGCCTGAGCTTAGCATGACAAAATACAAAACCAGTTTTCTGCAGATCATTTCATTCAGTTAGGGAAACCAAAAAACTGATCTTGTGGCAGAAAAGTAATTGCATGCTTGTCCTAACCACTGATTTTGTCACCCTTACCATCATTAACTGCAAGCATTTGTAATAACTGGTAAAGAGTCTTTCACATTCCTGCGGAGAACGTTTGACCCACTACTTAGTTTATTTCACACCAAAGATTGTCTTAGCTAATGTTAACCTTTGAATACAGCAAATCATCCACACCCCGAAAGAACAAGGCAGGCCCAGAACTTCACACTACCACCATCATGTCTAATTGTTAGTATGATGGGTTTTTTCTGACCCTCACAATTGCTGTGCTAGTTTTTCACGTTAAGTCATGGGACATACACTTTCCAAAAAGTTATTTAATAACTTTTCAACTGATACAAAACCTCTTCCTTGCTATTGAAACATGAACACCGACCTTAAGTGAAGCATTTGAGGGCTGCAGCCCTCCAGCTGTTATCCTTTTTGAAGATCTGAGATAATCTCTGAGTCATTTTGGTATGGCTGTCTTACACGACACGTTCATCATGGTTCTGCTTTCTTTATTTAAAATAATGTCTCTGGTTTCGACACTTTCCAGGCTCATAGGTGTGGCTTTGGTTCTCATCTGTTCTTTAATTTCTTTATATCAGGCAAGAAAGAATTCCTTTCTAAGAACACATCTTCTCAACACTTCATGTGTTCAGACGTGTTCTGATTCAGTAGTTTTATGTTTCTGCAGGAATCAGACTTGGATGTGATTTATAAAATTTGACTCAGGAAGAGAGCACTTACTTTTTTTTATACATGACCAGGTTTTATGATATCTGAACAAAGATATCCAAAAAACCTGGATATCTTAAATATCTGAACAAAATATCTTTGGTCAGATACTTATGATATCTGAACAAAGATATCCAAAAGTTACCCTTGTTATATTTAGCTGATGCACAACATTGTTTAATGATCTGGAACAAAAAAGAAGAAATATGCAAGGGGGAAATAACTTTTCTCAGTACTGTTGTTGTAAAATTGTCCTTTGTGTGGTTTCACATATTGTCATTTCACAGAGTGGTGAAAAAAAATCAAACTGAGATTCTAATTTATCTAATCACTTGAGATTTGATCAAAATTTGAATGATTTATTTACTTCCTGTCCCATAAAAACTTATTGTTATGCTGTGAATCGTATACCACTTTTCACATAACTTCTGAAGACCAAATAAGAGCTTTACAATTGTGAGTTGTACCTAAAACACAAGTTTTACAAATCATGAATTGTGTTCTAAAAAATCTGTTTAGAAATAATGCAGCTCCAGATTGTGCAGCGTTTTTCTTTTTGAACAATAAAAGGAAACCTTAATGAGACGCAGACTTCAGTATTGCAGCATTGCACTTCAGCATTTACCATATTTAATGACAGTGATTCAAAAGACAAAAAAAAAAAAGTTTGTGGTTTGACTCGCTTTGCCAGCATTTTTTCCTATTGTCTACCAAATTCTGCACCTTCAGTCCTTTCAGAGGAAGACATGAACTCTCTAAGGCGTTGCATTGCAAAACGTACATTCTTTAGACAAGAAAAATGTCTTCATTTTCACATCATACCCCAACACAAATAGATAAACACATTAAGAAACATCTGAAGAAATTCAAGAGAATTCTTAAGAGAACATACCTTTACTAGTCATAGACATACCAATGTTGTCACGATTAAGAAGTATTTATATACACAGCAATACAGTCCATACATTAATGTCATTAGCATCAATGAAAACATATTTGTATATGTATAATTGCTATTCCTGTTTATGCCACCATTATCAGAATTAATAAATATGTTTGATTAGAATAAAAAAAAGGCTGCGACATTTTCACAGATAAACTTCTTTAGTTTTCATTGGTCTCACTCATATTGTCATTGGTCTCACTCATATTGTTGCAGCTGAGCATAACATCAGATTTGCTGGTCTGAGATCCTTGACTTTCTGCTTCACAATAAGTATACCGTTTCCAGATGTTCATGTATGCTCTCTTTATCTTTTTTATTTTAAATGCATACACGACAGGGTTTACTGCCGAATTAGCATGAGAAAGAGAAATGCCGATATGGAAAGCAATTGTGGTTGCACGGTTTGCAAATAAATTAATGCAGTTCATAATGTGAAGTGGAAGCCAGGACAGCGCAAACAGAGCCAAGACAAGAGCCAGAGATGATGCCAGCTGTTTCTCTTTCCTCAGGTAAAGAGATTGGTTCTTTGGCTGGTTTTGGGCACCGTTGCCTGGTTTCTCTCTGAGATTTTCTCGAATGTAACAGAAAACATAGGCGTATAATACAGTCATCACCAGCAGTGGTGTTAAGGTGCAGAGAAAAAAGTTGAAGTAGACCAGATAATTCAAGCTGATCACCTTTATGAACATGCAATTATCAGAGGGAGTAAAGTTTTCTGATCCTGGATTCCATCCAAGCATGGGAGTGAAACTCAGTGGTACTGCAAAAAGCCAGCATGCAGCAGCCACAGAATATGAATACCTCCAGGTTACTGTCCTTTTGTACCTATAAAGAATAGCATTGGTAAGAAAAATTTTAACTTTAATTCTTATTGAAATGATGACCAGCAGAATGTGGCATTGAATGCCTTGAGATCACATCTGCACATTTTAAAATACCTGAAAAATTTCTTACCAGAAAGGGCGAGAGAGCCGAAGGTATCGATCCACAGCAATGGCCGTCAGACAGAGAACCGAAACTAAGGTCAGCAGGATCACCACGCAGCTGATGAAGAGACAAGTGTGGAATGAAGTTTTCACTCGGCCATCTACCAGCACAGCCATTGGTATGGCCACAGCTCCGACAAGAAAGTCAGCCACAGCCAGAGACACAATGAGGCAGTAGGTGGGCAGCTGGATGCTTCTTGTTTTCCACAGAGCCAAAACAACCATTGCATTCCCAAGACAGCAGCATACTGCAATGAGAACTTCCACCAAAGTGTAAATCGTTATTTCAATATCAATATCCGTGGTGCTGTTTGAGTCTGACTGGTTCATGTTGCAGGTTGATGGAGTGAGGTTCTAATGCTGAGCGAGACTAAAAGTTAGATCATACTCTGCCACTTATCATTCATCTCGCACTTGCAAAGCTTTTAGAGGAAGTCCTTAGCTGCAGCAACTTCTATTTTTTTCTTGTTTTTAGCCTGTCTTGCACCATTGCTTAAAATTTTCTTTGCACAATAAAAGTTTTTACATTATTATTATAAAAATCATAATCATATTAGCTAATATTAATAATGAATAATATAATATTAGCCACAAACCTTTATTATTTACGGTGACTTGTGAGACTATGTGTGCAAATCAGCACTGTAGTGGTTTTAAAGCCACACATTTATAATCTCACTGTACGTATCTCCCTTTCATATTTCATACAGCTGAAGTCATATCAAACTTGCTTCTGCATGGCATTTGTTTATTTTACCCTACTTTTAGTTTCTTTTTTACTATTATCCTTGAAAAATGCATTTTGTTCCTGCACTGTTTGTCTTCAAACTGCAGTTAGGAACTAGCCTAGAATAGAAATACTTAGATTATTATTGAAACTCAGATAAGTAAGTGAAAAATGCTTTCGGTTAAATACACACAGACTGATACTTCCCAGTCTTTCTTTTTGCTTTGTTTTTATTATTTTCTGCTACAGCAAGTCTAAACACAAGATTTAATATTAGATTGCATCAGAGCATGCAAAACCTCATATAAATATGCTTAATAACTGCTGGGAGGTGCTGCACTTCAAATGGTACTTCTGCTAAGAAACAAGTCTCATTGCATATACACGTGAATGCTATAGTCAGCTACTTTCTTTCATTTGAGCTTAAAACAACTTTCTGAGCCATAACCACATCATCTACTCACATTATCTGTCACCATATATGCAAAACTCATTTGAGAAGAGATGAGTGATAAAACAAACCAGATCGGCTGTTTACAAAACGCTGCACTGTGTGACAAAAAGGCGTACTATCTTACACCAAAAGGAGAATTAAACTGCTTAGGCACCGTTTGATCAAATATCCCAGCACTGACCCAGCTTTAGGCAATGTTACGGCCCTGGGCCTTATAAACTGGGCTGCAGGTGTTTTTGTTGTCTGCCTTTGTTTATAAATATCCCTTTTTCTGCACTTTAACCCCTGCATGATCACCCGCAAAATAATGCAGAATCAAACAAATTTACACAAAAATGTCAAAATTCACACAAAAACATAAAGATAAAACTCTAAATCATCTATTTAGACAGTTTATCAGTAAGATAAATGGATTTGGGGGTCAGTTAAACTTTAATTTTTCAATGTACATTTACTGAATTTCTTTGCGTGATTTACAATTTTTTTGTGGACTATGCCCATCTTTAATTCAAAGTCTAAACTTACAGTTTTTAGACCAGGGAGTTTTGTTTAACCTAAAACTAGATCAGATCTAGAAGTGTATCCTTAGTGTTTTCATCAAGTCTTACTGGGAAGACACGGGTGAGAGGTGGAACATGTATGGACCAGCAAATCTGCAGCTCCAATTTGCCTTTGCTTCTGTGTTAACATCACAGCGCAGATTAAGATAAATAAATACGACTGTCCATCTCTCACTTCTTCCTGTGAACGTCATTACTTGTTCTCTAGGCAGAATCTGGCCCCAAAAACAGATAGTGCAATTCCTGTTTCTTTATCTGAGAGCCATGGTATCAGACACCACACTGAGCTGCAAAACCACAAGCTTTAACCATGAGTTTCTCAGAATTGTTCCCATTTTGTTGCCACAGACCTTAGTACATTTTAAAACGATTTTACGACAGCCCAACACAAATTGCCACACGGTTTGAAAGTTGGAAAAAATAAATACACATGGTTTTTGATTTTGTTTTTAAAATAAAAAATAAAAAATAAAAAA